ACATAAATGGAACTGAACATGAAATTAAATGTCGACATCATTTGATTAAATTAAAGGAAATCTGGAAAACAAATATAAAGGAAAGGAAGCAATCCGATTACAAAGAAATATTACTGAAGGCAGCGAAACTCACCATTACAAATTCGACAAAAGAAAAACCGAATTGCTAAACTAATCTAGGTTGAAGCGTAGAGCTAAAATTAAATTAAAGGGCTTGAAACTAAGATGAATCTGAGTATAAAGAGAAGTTGTGCTGAGTCTGTTGTGTGAGATGTCGATCCTTTGCTTGATCTTATAATTAGGTATTTATAGCACCTTGGCAGCATCGTGGAGATCTGCGGCAGCATCTTGGAAGACCAACGGCAGCATAATATCTGCAACAAATTGATTAATTTGTTGGTGCTGCGATTATCCTCCTGAAAGCTCGCAACAAAAGAACGGTTTTGCTGCCGTTGTGGAAATAACCATTCAATCTCATCTGAAAAAATCCACACCAACTTCCAACTAATAAAATATCTGCCATCATAGGTGACACGTGGCAGCACTCTATTTGTTGTAAAATTAGGTGTAAACAGTAAGTAAGGGAATGGGTTGGGTTAAGTTTTATGGATTGGGTTGGGTAAAATTGGATTAAGTTTAATTTTGATTGAATTGAATTTGAACTTGAGTTTGGGTTTGGGTTCGGGTTTGAAAGGTGAATTAAATTTAAAATAAAATTAATTTATATTTGTTTTAATTTTTGTTGGGACAGGAATCCGTGCGATGCCCCACGGGACGGGGAAAATTCTCTGTGAAATTTCAAAGGGGAAAAATGCTTCCTATCCCCGCCCCGTCTCCATGACGGGGATCCTTGCAGGGCGGGATTGAGGGAAATTGCCATCCCTAGGCTAGTATGGGTATACTAATCTTGGTAAGACTTAAAACCTCACTATAGTGGTTTTAGTCAAAATCACCACTCACGCTCGTAAGACCTAAGATACAAAAGTCAATAAGCATTACTTAGGTTGGTAAGACCTAAAATAAGCACTACTTAAGTTGGCAAAATCTAAAATACAGAGATAAATAAGAAAATTTACTCTCAATTCGCTCACTCAAATGAAATGAAAGTCAAGTATTTTTATTCATAAATTTGCATGCTTACAATGGAGGAGAACATAGCTATTTATAGGCTAAAACTAACTAAAAGGAAATAGATGAAAAGTAAAAAGGTTTGTTAGGGCACAGGTTAAGAAAGCATTAATGTATCTTTTTGTAATTAATTTATATAAAAAAATAAAAATGGACTTTAAATTTGTCAACTACCTAATTAAATCATTCAAGAGGTATTAGTGTTAAAAGGAATGTTTTACTTTTATATTTTCTTATAAAAATTTATTACAAAATAGTGTAATTAATGCAATTTAACCTGTAATTTAAAAATACAAATTAAATAAATCCAAAGTAAAAACAGTTGGGAGTTAGGAGTTAGGAGTTTGCCATTTTTGCTGACTTTGTGTGACCTTTTTTTTTTTTTTTTGAAAAATTGCACCGGCCTAAGGCAGTGCTGCAAAGACCATTTAATTTCCCGCTGCACCTCCACCTTTCCACCTTAACTACTTGGCTAAAACTTCATTGATTTGGTTTTCAGTAATAATTAAAGCCATGACTTGGTTGCTATGAGAGTTTAATTGTTTCCCATGGTCTTTTTCGATTCATGTAGGAGAAAGGACTAAGAGCAGATGATTCCTTATACGTGGATGATTTGCTTTTGATCTATTAAAAAGATACCACCCCCTTTCTCAAATCCTTTCCCTCTCGTGAATAGTTTCAAGTTCCAGTCAGTTGAAATATCGTTTGGAGGCATAATTTTATCATGTTTTTCACTTGGATGAGCAAGTTGTGAAAATGTTCCATTTCCAAGGCTAAAAATTCATGATTATTGTGTGTAAGGAAGATAAAGAATTGAAATTTTCTGTCATTTCTTATCCTCTGTAATACATTGGTCCAACCGTCATGAACCTCCTTTCTTTCTTCTCCTTTCTTAGAGAATGACAGGCAGGACCATCTTCCCTCGTACTTCAATTTAACTGACTGCAATTTCCTTCCAGACCGAAAATAAAAACTTACCAATAATCTCCACATGAACAAACCCCTTCTTTAAAATGGTGAAATCGATTTGTATCCCGGGCAATAATCACCCTATGTGTAATAGCAGATACAAACTTGCTAAATGTGTGACAATCACCACAAACTCTGAGATTCTTTGTAATCCTGATAGGAGTTCCCTCGGTTGTGGCAATAAGACCAAATACAATAGCAAGTTTTTCACTATGCATAAACAAGCTTTCAAGTTTAACTTCCTCATCAACATCATGTAACACTAAATTTGTATCTGGAACATAACCAGCCAGCTCCATTTTCCTTCTCAAACTCCTAAGCAGCCTATAGATCTCCTTTGACAGATGATGAGACTTATCTCCAACACCAAATTGATAAATCTTGTTCTCCACCTCAATACAAGTCCATCCAGGAACCTTTTTCAACTCCCTCTCTGTTATCAGATCCCTAATTTTTGCCACATCTTCCCACCTACCTGCTTTAGCATAAATATTGGAGAGCAACACATAGTGCCCTGCATTCTGTGACTGTAGTTCAAGAAGGGAATTTGCTATCTTTTCTGCCAAATCTATATTTTTATGGATTCTGCACGCACCAAGCATAGCACCCCATAGCCCCTCATCTTTCTTGACAGTCATGTTCTCAATCAAGTTCATGGCCTCATCAAGTCTCCCAGCACGGCCTAATAGATCAACCATACACGTGTAGTGCTTAACATCTGGTTTCACAGAGTACTCATCCCACATCATGTTGAAAAGCTCGAGTCCCATGTCAACCAAGCCAGCATGACTGCAGGCATATAACAGGGAAAGAAAAGTTATTCTATTTGGCAGTATCCTGCTACCCAACATCATAGGGAATAAATCAAGAGCTTTCTTGCCTTGTCCGTGGTATCCATAAGCAGCAATCATTGCACTCCATGAAATTACATTTCTTTCCCACATTCTATCAAATATTTCCCTCGCATAATCAACACTTCCACACTTAGCATACATATCAATCATTGCAGTCCCCAATATTACATCTAACTTAAAACCCATTCTAGAAATATAATCATGAACAAGTCTAGCCTTATGCATAGCACCCAATTTTGCGCAAGCATGAACAATAGTCACCATAGCTACATTATCCGGAACCAAACCTTCATCTCGCATCAAATCAAACAATGCTAACGATTCTTTAGCATTTCCAGACTCAGCATAAGCATTTATCATCACAGTCCAAGTCACAAGGTCCCTATTTGGCATTTCATCAAACAGTATACGAGCATCATTCTTCACCCTACACTTTGCATACAGGCTAATAAGAGCAGCAAGCACACACTGATCCAAACACAACCCAGATTTCAAAACGACACCATGAACCAACCTACCCATTACTGGGTCCATCCTATCCCTACAAGCCCTCAACACGATAGGCAAAGTATAATTATCAAGCTTAACACCACACCTAATGAGCTTCCTAAAAGTCCTCAAACAGTAGACATAATCACCAACCTTAGCAAACCCACCAACCATTATACTCCAGGAAACTGCATCTCTCTCTTCCATCATACCAAAAAGAGCATAAGCATCATCTAAAGCTCTGTGTTGAGCGTATACGTAAAGGAGCTTGTTTGCGACAGCAAGGTTGTGCAGCAATCCGCTGACAGTCACTTGAGCATGAACTTGTCGAATTTGAAAGATGTCTCTGCAATTTAACAATGCAGAGATAAAGGGTTTGGGTCTACAAAGAGCGGAACACCCGAATCCAGTGGATATTGCAAATGGGTATGGGGGTTTAAGGCGGTTTCTTGATTAGCTGAAGCAGCCGCAGCCGCAGCCGCAGCCGCAGAAGTTGAGAGAAAGCGAAGCCTTTCACGCCCACAGACGAGTAAAGCAAGGCTCTTTGCGAGCTTTAGCATACTTTGCCGCTAATGGTTATAGGGCTATTACAAATTAAAACACGAAAGGGTATCCCCAACGGTTGACGCTTGGTGCTAAGTAATTGTTCTCTCGGAGCCAAGGTGCAAGGTTCGAGTATTGAATGCTAACACTCAAAAAAATTAATTTATTTAAATGAATATTCTTAAAGTAAAAATTAAACCCTAAATTATCTAAAAAGATATTAGTGAGGTAGAATTGAAGATGAGAGAGGGTGTTGCGCAACCCAAATCATCTCCTTAACATTAAGTTATATAAAATAAAAATATTTGATTAATCACTTTAAAAAAATAATAGAAATATCTAATTAATCGTTTGTAAAAAAATAAAATATTTAAATCTAATAACACTAATCATTTAATAAAAAATCTTCAATATTAAAGAATCATTTTTAATTCAATAATTAATATTTCATAATGTAATACAATTTAAATTACAAATATTTTTTATAAAAAAATATCACACCATTCTACAAAGTTCTAATTTTTTTCTTTGATGTAAACAAAAATGTAATTCATTACAAAGGGAGCGAGACCAATGATCTTTGAATACTAAATAGAACTTAACCCTGAATGTGGGGTTGTGGCACAATTTACATTTCTACTTAAGCTACAAGCTACCAAATCCTGAGAAGGGATTATTTGTATACTAGATCTTGAACAAGCAATTGATACTCGAGCCCCACTACTGCATGCTTCTTGAAATCTTCGGAAGATGATGATAACAGATCAAAGGTATACACTAATGATACAGATGAAATTCAGAGAAAAATCATACCAAGGATGACAAGACCAATATCAGTTGATTCGAGAAAGGGGTGACCGTGGTATCACGGACGGCTTCAATTCCTTAGACTCAAATGATTCATACGAATTATTTTCTCGGAATTCTTCAACCAGAGATTCCATTGGCATGGCTCTTAATGACTCAATAGTCCCCTTGCTAGGAACATCCTGCTCACTTCTTATTGGAGTAGTCCCACTTGGCTCATAATCCTGTACACCATTTTAGACCAACGCAACAAGTTATTTGTCATTGTTCAATTACAAATTGAGTCGAATAAATCAAAGGTGAAAAGAATGCTTGAAAAAGCAAAAGCAATCATATAAAACAAAGACAATATATTGAATGACAGGTAACCTACCATATATCTCTGTTGGAATGTTTCTTCTGCCCCCTCCCTTATGGATGTAGCTTGAGATGAATGATCATTCTGGAAAGTCTCAAGGGTTTTCGTATGTGCTTTGACTGTATCCAATATTTCAGATATTGCTTGTTGCTCCTGTTTTGACACACCTGTAAAACGTTCCACCAAGAAGTTTTGTTTTTAGTAAGTTATTCAAGTAAAGAACATCAAAGAAACCAACTGGTAATCATTCTATATAAGTTTTACAAGACACATGACATGAATAACTGCAAACTCATCTTTTTGGGTAGGAAGGCAGTGAGAGCATTATAGGACCATTTATCAAACAGCAGATTAAATTCAAAGTGAAATTCTTTTCACTTCAATATAGTTATATAGGACTATTTTAACTAAAAAATTGTCAAGAGCCATTCACAAGCCACGTGAATTTCTGCCATTAACCCTTAAGGCTCATGAGTGCACTTATTCTTGGAAGTAAAATGCCATTCACTCGGCAGAATTGATGGGTGTGCCCTTTTCCACTTTTTGGAAGTTCATATGAACTTAGAAAATCTTCTAAATTTGGCTGACATCAAACAATGCTTCCACCAACAATAGAAAAAACTTACAATCAATGTGCTGAATTGCGTCTTCACTATTCTTCGCCACATCTTGCTCAGCTGTAACCCTGGCACTATCAATCTCAGTATCATGCTGCTCGTTTATATCAGAAGCATTTCTGCAGGAAATGATCCAAAATTAACTTGTTGTAAAAGATATTACACAAAAGTATGCCATAAAATCAGGAGAACACAGTATTGACTGTTGACTAATAGCTTCAATGGCTAGGAGCAACATCATTAAACCAACAATATACTGACATCTACTACAAAGAAATCAAGCATATTGGCTCTCAGATAGAATTGGGTTTCAAATTAATGACTAAGCATTAATTAATATCAAAAGATTTATTTAAGAAAAGGGAAAATCTGGAATATGCAAAATCTATGTCCCCTGACCTTGCAAGTGATACTATTGCTGAAGCATGTTTACTGCCCATCTCACTCACTGATTCGTGGGTACCTTTGCAGTGCTTGAAAGCTGATTCGGCTGTACTCACACTAAAGTACAGGATGAAGAAACAAGGAAAGCTCAAATCACAGCTGAAGGCATGATTAACAACAAAAAAGTAATATCAAACATACCATTGCTGTAGGAGTTCCTCCATACGACAATGTTTAGCAGCAGAATAGTCAGCACCATCTTTAGCATCATTCTCTGCTTGTGTGGCAAATGCTTGCCACTTCCGTTTCACATCTGTTGTAATATCCTCCATTGAGGAAACCTGGGTATCCAAAAATGTTTTGTTCGCAATAGCACTTTCCTTCATATCAACAAGCCTTGCATTTACCTTTCAAATCAACCATCAATCAGCCTCAAAATTAAAAATAGAGAAGTATTGGGAATTAGAAAATTAGGATAAAGCAACAAAATCAAAGCAAAGACCAACCAGTTCTTGCTGACGATGAATATGGTTATAGACAAGATTTGTCATATCGGCAATAAGCTTTTCTGCACCAGATTTTGATTGGTCCTGCACGGGAGATTCTTGACATGTCAGAAATCTCAACAAATTATCTCCGTACAGGAATATGTATAGCACACCTCATAAGTCTTCTGAAAGCTAGCAATGCTCTTCATTTGAACTTCACTCGCTTGTGTTGCATGATTCTGAAGCCTTGTTGACTCTTCTAAAATCTTATGAAGAACCTCACTGGTATACTCAGAAATGTCCTTTGTTTGCTCAATACTTACATTGAACCTCTGCCAAATCAAGAAAGGCATACAAGATAACTTGAATCAGCCACAGAATATGGGTGCATAAATAAAAAGAGAAATTTTGTTACAGGTGAGAAACTATAAAACTAATTATGCAACTCCAACAAAGTCTGCCAACAAACCTGACGTAGTTCCCTTGCAAAAACAGCCATTTCTCCCTGATGAGATTCAATAGTGCGCTGAAGATCACCGAATATTGAAGTTGCTTCACCAGCCTCTGATTCTAAAAGCTGATCCATATATAAACAAGTTAAAAGGAGAAAATCACAAATTAAATAGTTGAAAAAAATGAGATTCAACTTAGTCCCTACCTCTTCAATAGACCGCGCATTTGATGAAGCTACCATTGATATTTCCTCCAAGGCAGCATTGGAGCTTGCCTTGTGCAAACGAACAATATTTTGGACTGCCTCCATGTGTGAAATGTATAAAGCCTTTGCGGCTCTAACTTTCTTCTTCATACCCAAGACCGCCTAAAGGCAAAATCTTGCAAGTCAATTACAGTACATGCTGAAGAAAGCACCCAATTGTGCACAAAGCGGAAACTACATATGCAGTTCATGAAGCAAAAAAAGTAAAATACTGAACCAAAATTCGGCAATACCTTATTATGTGTGTCCGAAAAAGATTGACAGAGCTTCTCCACAAAGTGAAGGTGTTCATTTTGCTGACACATAGAGGAGGCCACTATGTTGCAAAGAGAACCAATTTGTTCTGCTAATTCAATCTGGTAATTGTTAACCACAGCCCTGTTATCGGCATTTAGCTTGTCTTCTCTTCCTATATAATAGCAAATCAGAAGCAATTTCTATTTACCACTGAAAAGGATTTTTATTTTAATAGACAGCGAATAATCCTATAACCAAAATAAAAGCAGCAAAAGCAGCATACCAATTTTCAGAAATAATGAAGCATTATCCTTAAGAGCTTTCTCCAAATCAGACTGTAAGACACACGCTTGATGTGCCAGAGCATTTTCTATTACAAAACCATAAAAAAATTAGCAACAAAAGCACACGAACACCCAAAACCAAAAATCCAAGCAATATGCATATATACCAGCCTTTTTCTGCTCAGATATGATGAAATCTTTCTCCTTCAGGGCAAAGCAGCACTTCTTCAACTCTTCTTCAGTGTTAACAAGTAGTGTTTTGGTATTATCCAAGTTTTTCTGCATTTTCCCACTATTTATTATGCATTTATCCAAAATGAAAAAGAATCAAACCAAAACAGACAAACACAACTGACCTCAGTCACTTCAAGTTTGTGGCTTAAATCAGAGCATTGACGGACTTGGACAACATATTTATCCTGCAACTCTTCAACTTGCTGTTTGATTGGGTAAAAAGAGAAATTATATGTCAGGTAACCATCCTCAGAAGGAAATATTCAAGATCTACCACCCAAAGAAACTAATGGAACAACTGACCTTCTGATTATTTTCCAGAACAACCCCCATTTGTTCAATCTGCTCAGCCATGGCCTGAAAACAAGATAACGCTTGAGCTAAAATTTTGCAGGCAAAACTTAGCAGTATCAACTGAATAATAGAGGATGTAAAAATAAAAATTGAGAAAAGTTAATTACAAATATCAACCACTTAAGAAAGGCCTACAAAAGGACCCCTCAAACCATACCAATGAAAACAAAAAAAAGTGGCGCTAAATCTTTTGATATGCTACGAGAGTGGTAGTAAATAATTATAGAAACGTGCAACAATGAAATAATCCCTTTTCGAGGCAACAATAAAATCATTTAATGGCTAGAAATATGTGCATACACATACAGCAGCATTAAGTGTTTAAAAAAAGGCATGGGATAATTGCACACCTTCCTTTCACTCTCCTCCTGGTGGTATCGCTCCTTTGGAATATAGACACCATTCTTCTCACGAGCAGCATACACCTCTAGAAAAAACAATAACATAAGCATAGACAATTGAGAATATGAAAAAAAAAAAGCTGAATAGTTAACCAAACGCTTGATTAATCATGGAAATATTAACGCATCTCACCAGCCTTAAGTCGTTCAATTTCACCATATAGATCCTTTATAAGAGTTGATTTCATCATTTTTTGGTTAACCTGCAAAGATATCATAATGATGAATGAGCTCTGGTGGGTGACTGATCGACCCAATTATCAATAACTACATGCAGACATCACATCAAAGATTCAAAAACTTGCATAAAATTACAAGAAATGAATTATGGAACACAATTATACAAAAAACAATACATATTAATATTATACCAATTACTTGCTTGTCGCTACAGCAAACTGAGGCCAAGATCTATTAATGAAAACCAGACAAAAACAATGCACAAGGATACATGCAGTGCAGTTATTAGACAGACACCATGACATATGTTTCTTTTTTTCATGTATCAGGGCAGAGACCACTTCAGAAAATTGTTTAAGGAAGCAAGAAAAAGAAATTCAATTAAAAAAAAAGATTTGAACAACTAATTTCTTCATTTAAGTAGATACTGCAGATCTATTGGTGCATGACATGACAACAAACCTCAGGCTTATTTTTGATATTTTTGGCCCTGTGTGCATAATCCAGTGTACTTAAGGTTTCCTCCAGACAATGAACGGCTGGAGAAACAGTGGCAATAATGCAAGTCTTGGTTCTCCCCCCCAGCGAATCACGAAGTAAGCGAGTGAGCTTACTATCCCTAAAATACAACTGAACTGTACAATTAGAATCAACAAGAAAGGAAACATATATACGCATCAACAATGAGTAATTCAAACCTGTAAGGAACATGACCAAGATGCTCCACAAGAGCATTAATAACTCTCCCCAAAGTAAGTAAACTTTTATTAATTTCACCAGCCTCCCTTGCACGACCCTAATGTACATCACAAGATGAAATTATTGAGTTTCATCTAAAAGTTAGATTGTTTTACAAGATGGACTTTTTAAATAGACCATAATTACTTACATCCCTAGCACCAGAGCGGGAGATGTTTTCTGAGCCTGCTAAATCAACCAAATTCAGCTTCCCACATTTGATTAGTTCTTCACCTTCTGGTGTTGCTTCCTTGATGTGAATTGTAATGGTAAATAGAGAATGGGAACGACTGAAATGCAAGGAGCTCTTAATAACTGAAGGTAACCTGACCTTGATTATAACAAGAAAATAGAAAAGGAATTGTTGTCACCTTGATTGCTTGTTCAACAAGGTTTCTGCAGTGCGACGCTTTGCAGATCCTCTTTCAAGCAAAGTAAATATCTCACTAGCAGTGGCCACAATTTCTTCCTCCAGGCCTCTTACAAGAACCCCACCTTTTCCATCTTCCATAAGAGGCAACTGCTTCTTTTGCCTATCCTCCAAAGCAACTTTCGAAATTTCCTCTGGGGCAAGCAAATCAGTAATCTCTTCGTTGTACAATTCCAAGAAGGTAACTTTTACACTATATTCTGCATTCTGACTCTCGAGTGTATCAAAAATTTGCTTAACAGCTCTAGGTATGACTCCCGCCTCTGAAGGCAATTCTCCATTAGATCCAGTCTGTCGCATTTATTTACACACCATGTCATTAGCAAATAAACCATTTACAATTCGTTGGTTAAGCAACTGATTCACAAGTGAGGAAGGCACTAAGGCAGCCAAAAAAAAGAACCTGCTATACCTTTGATCTTTTGCATTCACCTTCCATTGTGTATGTTTTTCCAGTACCAGTTTGCCCGTATGCAAAAATGGTACAGTTAAAGCCTTCTAAAACCTCATTCACAATTGGAACCATTGCTTGTTCATAAAGATCCTTTTGCTGAGCAGATGGTCCAAAAACCTGTACATCCCATCAATATAATCTCAAAATTCACCACCACATAAAGCCCAAAACTACAACCCTATGAAAGTACCTGACCTGCTCCAGGGTAAACCAACATATACCATGAGTCTGTCCATGACCCCATAAAACCCAAAATCACAACCTTCTCCATTGTGATTCATGAATCTTAACAGTTATCAAGTACCTCTAGTACTAAGCTACACTTTTACCCTAATCTAAATTTAACTTGAAAATTAATTTCCATATAAACCCAAACATGATTTAACAACATTTCTTCCCAATTCAGCTAATTAAACAGGATAAAAGTTAATCCCTGAAAGAAAGAAATACCTTGTCAAAAGTGAAAACCCTATCAAAATGCTTTCCGGCAATATTCTGCGAAACGGAAACTTCTCTTTGATACTCACTGCAAGTCACAACCTGCGGCGCATTGTTCCTCAACTCCTCCTCACTAAAAGGCCTACAATTTTACAAAACAAAAACTCAAAAAAATAAAAAATAAAAAATAAAAACACCGACACACACACACACACACACACACAAAACCAATCGAGATTAGCCATCAACAAAGCGCTCATCACAACCAAAGAGATGATGGTGATGATGATGATAATGAAGTACCTGCAACGGAGGAGCACTTGGACATTGACGCCTTTCTCTTTCTCGTGGCGACCGGACATTTTGAATCAGCGAGGAGACGGAGACGGTGACTGAGAATCCCCGGGACTTATCGTCCTTCACTTCTTGCTCTGGATTCGCCTTCCCCTGTTTTTGTTACTGTAAGAACTTAGATCTGCGCCTCTTTTTGTGCCTCTCAAATCTGGAGGGTGAAATGGAAGGGAGAGCGGGATTCGTCCCAGATTTTAAATTTTTCGGGGGCGCTCGACTCGCTTCGCCTGGGTCTTACATCAACGGCTATGTTTCGAGCATGTCGATCTGACGGTGTAGAATGTGTTGGAACCTGGAATTCAATTTATCAGTGATTTGACGCAATTACCCTTCTGTTTTCCGCTTAATGCCAAAATTACCCTGGTGAATTTCGAAAAACAGAAACGGGTTGGCCTTGTTGTGGCGCCTTCGATGGGCTTCTAGTTCTACGACAGTATTTTTAATGGGTTGGGTTGTAGGGGTTTTGTTATGGGCTTGACCCAGAGATAGCTACAAGTCACTTGTGGTGAAATGGACCATTTGGCCTTTCTGCTACCTACAACCTTGACATTGAACCTGTGCCTAACCCAATCCTTAATGTGATTTTGACCACCGCAAAGAACACTCATATTCCGACCCTGTTTAGTTTAATGGTTGGAATGTAGCTGTTGGTTAATAATTGATGGTTGGATTTGACATTGGATCACAATTTAGGCCTGAATTTGATCCTTTGAAAAAAAAATCATTAAAAAGAGAGAGAGAGAAAAAAAAGGGTTGGGAGAAAGATGTCTGGTATTAATAAAATCCGCATATTCAAAGTTCCAATCATATTCTTCACTGAATAATTCTTCACTGAATAATTCTTCACTAAATAGAGAGGATTGAGAAACATGACTCACATTTGTTAATTATAAAGTTGACCAATTCAATTATAAAATATATAGAAGAAGGAGATAGGCCAAAATTGGCATGAAGCATTCTCACCTTTATTTTTACCTCTTATCCTTTGTTTTTTTCTGCCTCTGTCGCTGCCTTTCTCCTGCTTGACACTTAGGGTGGATGGGTAGAGGTAAGAATTCAATCATTTCGCGAGGGCTTTTCCTCTCTTGTGAAAGGTTTTTTTTTTTTATTATTTTATTGAGGTTTATACCTTAATTTTCTCAATATTTTTTCTTAAGATTGTCTCTTGTTAAAAGAGGATAGCAATTTAAACGTTATATTGATTGAACTCAGATTAATTGTCATATTTATCTTGGTTGTTAAAGGTATGGTTGGAAATGAGGTCCTTAACTAAATTTTTTTGCCTAAAGTAATTTATCTTCTATTTAGATGAATTAAAATGAAATGTAGTTTAATTGTCAAATTTAGAATTTGAGTTTAATTACAATATTCATATAAATGTTAAATTACCTGATTTTGTATTCTCTCATTTTATAAGTAAAATACCTATAGTGTATTACCCCATTTCCTGCTAGGCTTATAACTCTTATGATTTTCAAATATT